TTTTGAACGCTATTGAATGTCTTCTCATCTATTAGTGTGAAATGTTAAGAACTGGCTCTTCTCATTAAAGTGTAAAATGCTAATTGGCTTTAAAAACTTCAGAAGATATTATGTAAAAAATAAAGCTATTGCTTATGGACTCAATTCTGTTAATACGCATGACTGGAAAGACATGAGCTAAATTAGCAGTTACTTCCAGGGAATACAATTATGGGTAATTGTTATTTTATTCATTTTGTTTTACTGTTTTTCAAATATCCTCCAAATGTGTATTTTCTAATGAATCATACTAAAATAAATATTGTTAAAATCTTTCTGATCTTTCAAGCCCATTTGATGTTATCTGAATCGGACTTGCTATATTTATCCTAAGAGTATTGCAGGGTTTTCTGTGTAATCACACCTGATCTGGTGGGACACGAACCAGCAGGGGCCCAGCCACAGTGATCAAGGTCTCAGGCTGCCCCTTGAGGTTCCTCCACCATCTCCAAGCCCCTGAATGTGACGGAGGGAGCCCAGGGTCGGCATGTGTCCCAGGTGGGAGGGGCAGTGGGACCGTGCTCCTCCGGAAGAAATGAGTGTTTACACCCAGAGCTCAAGTGCGAGAGCACGTTTGGGACAAGGCTTCGTGTCTCAGGAGGACCGAATCTGAGTCGGGAGGGTTTAAGGTGGACACCAGGGCCAGGGATGTAGAGGAAGGACAGGTGGAAATGAGGAGTGCAAGTGCCTCCTAGGCTGGTGGCAGCAGCTTGCAGGGCCAGCGCGATTCATTTACGGAATCACGGACTGAATGGACAGAGAGGCACCAGCGTGCTGGGCCGGCTCTGCCCTTCCTTGGAACACTCTGCCTGCTGGTGCTGGATCCGTCCTTAGGTCCGGGGTCCTGCCTTGACCCCTGTCTGCTGCTTGCCTGGTTTCCCTAACACCACTGAGTCTCATGAACTCCTCAGAGCAGGTCTTCAGCGGGGAATTTGTCACCCCTTTTGTGCGAACTGCTTACCCGCACAGATAGACACTCACCGTGGGGTTCTACACACACCGTGGTAGTTCTGACCACCTTCTGGGCTGGCGTGTGGACATCACGCTGCCCTAACTCTCCACATCCAGAAGAACCACTCTGGTGAGTGAGTCCTGCGGGGACAACACCAGAGCAGGGACACTGCTGGCTTGCAGGGACCAGGTCTGGAACCGCCCGTGTGGTTCCCCCAGCCCTCGTCTCTTACCAGCCTTGGGCGGCTGAGCAGGTCGCACTCAGGACTCACAGCGAGGGCTGAGGTGCTGTCGCTGCTGCCCAGCCGCAGGAATTCGTTTCTTCTGAAATAATTTGATTTGGGAATGCCGAGTACCCAAGATGTTGACTTTCACCGAGTACCTCAGATGTTGGCTTTCACTTTAGAATAGAAAGAGTATCTTCCCTAATGGCTCATCCCCACCCAGTGTTGCTGCTGAGTGCGTTGTCTGAAGTGCACTTACTAATTATTGATAACTTTGTTGATTTTTAAAGCATACTTGTCTTTAGCAATCACCGTTTGTAAAAAACACAATTACTTTAAACACACACCAAAGAAAGACTTCATTACATTGAACCACTGAAAGAAAAGGTGGTATAAAAAATATTTTAATATATTAAAACAGGTTACAATACATTTGACCAATACTCAAGAGCAACATATGTAGAAAAAAACTATGTATTTCTCTAAAGACAAAAACATCATCTACACAGTCAAAACAAAGCCTTAAAATCTTACAGCATGATTGGTCTCTGTCTAATCAGCCGATCAAATGGAGTCCTTTCAACAAGAGGGTACTTATAGAATGAATTATTGCTGCATAGAGGCGTATTGCTACTTGGTTCTATTGTGTTGGTGTCTGTCTACCCAACAACCAGGCTCCAAACTCCTGATAGAGATGAAACGCAAACTCATCTTTCAGATGAGTCAGCCAAACTTCAAACTGGAAAGAAAACAGGTAACTGCCATATTGTTTATCAATAAATAACAGAAATGATTAGTACTTCCCAAACCACTATGTTATTACTCGTATCTGATCATTCCAGGCTTCTTAAGACAAAGTTCCATTCATGCTATTATAATGTAAACTTAAGCAATAATTATGTGCACTCCAAAATACTTGCCCTTAACGCATAAATAAGATGCCTCAGTTAAATTATTCTATGTTAGTTTCCTGCTATTAGAGAAAAAATCACTCCAACTCAAAAGATTTGAACTTCACTTTCAGATTTGGTTTCAAATCACACTAATTGAGCACCCGCTACATGTATATCAGACAAGGTCTTTGCGCTTTCACACGTGTGACCTTTGCCGAAGTTATTCTCTTGCTGAATGTTGTGAGGGTCAGCAAAGGGCACTCATGTTACGTAAAAAATTTGTTTTTGTTTATGCTGATTATTTTAAGGCCATCATAGCTTAGGTACTATCAAAACCCACAGGGGAAAGGAAACTTTCTAATTCGTCATTCTCTTTTCTTAAAAAAAAGGTAAAAGCATAAAATGGAAAATACAAGGCAACCTATCTATCCCATTCTGGATGGGACACGAACACATTTAAGTTGAATTACAGTGACTTAAAAATTTAAGTAGGAATTTCATTTTTTAAGAAACAAAAAACAAACCTTTCAAAAATCACCAAGTCTTGAAAATAGATCATTAAGCCGAATTTCTGGATGGTGCTTCATGAAATCAGGCAACATGTAAATGCCACCCAGTGAGCAGAAGTGGAATTGCAGCTGAATTAAAATTATTAAATACTTGTTCTTTGCTTGGACAAAAAGAATTTTCCATGCATTTGCTTTTTGAAACAATAATAGGAAATTGCTATTTTCCAGGCAGCGAGATACTGTTTAGGTTATGTAAACAAGCTTCATGAAATATTTCCACAAGGAGAGGATTTTGTTCCTTCACCCAGTATAAGTGATATTGTCCCTCATGTTCTTTCTTCGAGCTAGAAAAGGAAGGCCCTGGTTTTTCTCATAATGACCTAGATTGCACCCTATTTCAACTGATTCGGAGTTGATTGAGAAATCTTATATCGTGTCGTGCCTTCATTTACATAAAGTCCAGGCACAGTCTCTGCTCTGCACTGCATTCTTCCCTGCACGGGCGTCTGGCATGTTTGCAGGGGAGCTCGTGCCAGCCCTCACTTAGACCACCCACTCAACTAAACTCACATTTTTTTGCTTGACAGCCTCATGTGGCCTGAATACTATGTTGACAAAGCATTGTAAGCAATGGCCCCACATCCACTGAATCGTCAAATGTGGACTGTATCTTGGTTTTGCTAAGAATCACCACCAAGAAAGGGGCACGACCTTCACCCAACGGTCGCTGTGTTCTGGGGCAGCCACACTGTCTTACTCGTATTATCTCCTTCTAGGCGCTCACTGGAAACCGGCAAGATACTCATTTATTCTTGGAAACATCTGTTGACTATTTCTATCATCCTGTGTAAAAAGTCCGACATTGCAACGGTTTAAAGTCAGGAAAGGAAAAAGCATGACAACAAACAGAAATAATTGGAGGAGATATTCTGTAATGCTCCCAGATGTAAAAATTGGTATCTTGATATTGAGTAGAAAATATTGACTCAGTCAAATGAACAAAACTAGATAAAAATAGCTGCAAAACTGAAATATAAGAGTCACAGTAAGTATTACTCAGAAAATCAAATCCAAATCAAATATTGCCCCCAAAGATATCACTGGAGCTTATTTCTTACAAACACATCTTTGAACTTGATTTTAGGTCCTGTATACAGCTGACTTATCTAAGCTTTTTAGCTAACTCAAACTCAAAAACAGAAGTCCTTTCTCAATAACAGAAGTCCTATCAGAAGTCCTAACAGAAGTCCTATCTCAATAAGATAATAAACCAATTAAGTAAACTTAACCGTTTTGCATTATCTATGGATTTAAGTTATCCAAGTTATTTATGTGTTCAGTGACCACAGATAATCAGATGTGATGTGCAGCAGAAATCAGATTTCCAGCCGTTGAGAAATACCAACAGGACAGTATTGCCAACAATGGCAGCCACGCCAGGAGTTTTCTTTTCCCTGCTGGTGGGTTTAACTCTTGTTCCACTTTCAGCTTTACCAATCCAGCTTCAGATCTGCCTTGCTCCATACATACTTTCCTCCTCGCTTCAGAAACATCTTTTCATCAAATCCACTGAATTTTATAGCCTCTTCTACTCCAACATCCAGGATAGACTTGGAAGGATCCTTCCGTCCATTTTGGCAGTTCAGAAAGCGCATCTAGGAAATTCATGACAGACACGGGTGTGTTTCCATATAGTTAATCCTGTAAAGCTTAATTTAGGGTTTTAATTCAAGATAATGTTTGATATTCCAATCATGTAAACAAATGTTTTTTTGAAATCTGTGGCCAGATACTGAACTGATTGGATCCCATGTCTCTATTCAACCAACTCCAGTTCTAGTGGAAGAGGCTGATGTAGATGTATTAGCTCAATTAAGCACACAATAAACAGAATAATATACACCCTACATGAGGCACATGTTTCTCCAATGGAGGGAATAATCAGGAAGGGCTTCCCCTAAATGTTGACATCTGAATTATGTTTTGAAATTTTTAATCTGAAGGAACAGTATTATAAAAGCACAGAATCAGGAAATAGTATGATGTGTTTGGGAAACTGCAGGTAAATGATATTTCTGGAATAAAAACTCTGTGCATGAACATATAAGTGTAAATATTGACAAAAGCTTCTTTTAAGAAAGGGCGAGAGAATGATAAAGGAGAACGGAGGCAGACAGGCACCAGATTGAGAGGAGTCTTACATGTCCTGCTAAGGATCTCCGTTTTTATCTTATTCTATCCACTTTTGTTTGTTTTATCCTGTTCTATTTTACCTTGTAGACAGAAATGAGGTCTTCACACATCTTATGATTTACACTGAGTGTTTTCTGGGACCTCAAGTAATAATTATTGAAGCAAAATGTTACTAAATTGGCAAAGGCAAATTTCGGCTCAACTATGTTTATTCCAACTACGTGGAGACCAGACAGTTTGTTGAGGAACGCTGGTCAAAATCCCCAGCCAATCATTAGAATTTGCATCCCAAAAATAGTTTGAATTTTCCTCTACCTTGGACCCATAAACTGAACATTTTTGTTATCCTCTTTCCTCTTACGCTCCATAAAGAAAGCTCACATTAATAAGAAAAGAAATTGCTCTAAAGCATCATTGATTAACTTGAAAATAACAAAATACCAAAAGTCACAGTAATCATTTCTTAGAAAAACCAAACTCGATTTAAATATTGAACCCAAGGTTGTGGTTGGAGCTAATTTCTTAAAAACATGTCTTTGAATGAGATTGTTTATCCTCTGCTAGAAATATTGGCAAAGTTTATAAATCTAGGGAAAAAAAGAGGAAAGAGAAAAGTGATTTGCTTTTCAATTTGGAGAAGGGTGAGTTTTCCTTTTCCTTTGGAAGACAGCATGGGCAGGAATAATACCGGTGGTGTCTGGGGAGGAACCGGACTCTCGTTGCCAAGGCCAGGGCCTATCAGTCAGAGGATGAACCGGCTGCATCTGGGCTATTCACGATAATGTGAACTGTGGGTGACCTTCCTCCCAAGTAACCTGGGTGCCTGTGTTGGGACAACCCCCAGCCCACGACAGCACAACAGATGACACTGCTGTGTGTGATAATGGGTTCGATGTGACATTCATGGATGCACAGCCACATGGGAGACCACAGAGCAGGGTGGTTAGCGTAGACACAGGGACCTGGGCTCAAGTTTATACCTATGGAAGTGCGTAGCTCTGCGCCTGACACAGGAGAGTAAGGGTTCTGTCCTGTTAGTGGTAATCGCTGACAATAAGACTACGAAATGCTGGTTAAGGACAAATACGTACTAGATAGATAGGCTCATGCAACTCAACTCTGGCATTACCGCTTCATTAATTTTAAGTGATAATTTTATAACTCAGAAATACTCACATATTCATCCAGAATAAGGTAGGAGTCTTTCATCTGCAAAGGAGAAATCAAATATAAACTTAGTGTCAAGTGTGGGCTCACTTGTCCCCCTTACAGTGTTCGTGCCTTTGTGATTTATTATTCTGGACCCAACATTTCTCATCTCGCTTGAGGGCCTTTTGGTGTGTCCCTTACAAGGTCTGAGTGCATACAGCTTCCAACAGATTCCAGCAAGCCTGGACGCTCTGCCCTTTGCAGAAAGGGTCAAATGTCGGAACCTTCACCCTGAAGGCTTCTGACGATGGAATCCCAGGCAATTTCCCCGTTCCTTCACGCTGCGCGAGAGCCCTTTTCTTTATTACTCAGAATTCCCAGGGACTGTGTGCACCATGTATCTAATTTCCCCCTTTTCAACTGATAAAGCAAAGCTTTCCTTAATGCTGGTAGCTGGGAGGTTAAGGGGTGGCATTACTGAGGATTTTAGTGTTACTCTAACACTATGTATAGATAGTTATGCCTCCTGTGGGCATACATATACTTCCTATGGGTGGGTATACCTCCTAATGCCTACCCGTATAGGTAGAGTCAGTAAACATTTTTCTGTAAAGGACCAGAGAGGAAATATTCTCTGCTTTGCAGGCCACACAGTCTCTGTCACAAATAATCGACTCTGTTGTAGCCCAAAAGCCACCACAGCCAATGGGTGTGGCTGAGCTCCACTGAAACTTTATTTACAGGACCTGAAAATGGAATTTTACATAATGTTCACTGGTCACAGTATTATTCTTATTCTCTGCCATCAATTCTTAGCTTGTATCCTGTACTAAAACAGGCGACAGGCCAGATCTGTCCCTTGGGTCACAGCCTGCGCACTCCTGTGCAGGGTGAGGCGCCTTCCTGCTCTTGAAAGTCCGGAGGGGAAGTGGGGGGAAGGGCCCAGCACCGTGTGTGGGGAGCCGGTTCAAGCCCTGGGCCCGCCTCGGACCTACTGAGTCAGGGTCTGCCCCTTTATCAGATCCCAGGTGATTCGTGTACACACCAAAGTTTGGAACATACTGGCTGGAAGATTCCTGGGCTTTGGGGTCACCAAAATCCTGATTTTACAAGGATTTGTAAAGGATCTGATACAAGTCAGATCAATGAACACCTAAGACTCAGCCTTTTTTACGAGAGTTAATGGTCTCTTGTACAAAATGGACTCAACAATACTGCAGCAACATTTATTACAACTATCATGTTTTCTTTGATCTCATATTAACTACACAATTAAGACAGAGTTTTAAAAATCACATAAAATCGTCCATAGAGAGGAGCGGTTTTCCTCCTCTACTCCCTCTCTCTTCTTTTTGAAAGCCACCTGTCCCTTATTCCGGGATTTTCCTATTCATGCTCCCTTCAACGTTACCTTTGAAACTCTAGCCGTTTACTAAGACCCTCAGAAGTCTAAAGCATAAGGAATGAATTTCTGTTCTTGGGATTCCTAACATTATGCAAGCATATGGGGGAGAGATTTTTCTGCATGTGTATTTTTGGGTGGCAGATGGGAGAAGCTGTTTTTAAAATGTTTTCTTAAATAATAAAACTGATACCGATTTTACAAGTTTTTTGAGTCCAAAAAAGTTCTGAAGATAAATAAAAACTACCAGTAATTCTACTACTCCAAGATAACCACAGGGATACACAAAGATGCATCTTTTCATCCATTAGGATTAAACTTCAGCTTAATTTTGCATACTATTTATCATCTGTAACTAATATCATCTGCACCTAATATTTTATTAGGAGAATTTATCCTTGTCACATACTTAGTAGTCTTTGAAATGTGCTGTATAGGTGGTATAACATTTCATTCTGTGCACAGAAAGATTTACCTCTTCTCTATATGCTAAATGTTAGGCTATCTTTAATTTTTGCTATTATTCTTAACATTGCATAACATGCCTGTACATAAATATTTCTCTGCATCTCTGAGTATTTCTTATATTTTAAGGTGGGATTTCTGAATCAAAATATGTGAGCATTTTAAAGATTATTACCGTAAGTTACCCATTTGCTTTCTAGGACAGCTGCAGTGATTCGTCCTCTAACTAACAATAGAAATCTGCCTCTCTTATTGCATCTTCATGCTTTGTATTTTAACTTGTATTTATCTGAATACTGATAATATCGATATCAAACACTCTTAAAATGCTTATTCACTATTTTTCTTCTGTAAATTTTCTGTTTAGGCTCATTGCCTGTGTTTTGTGTGTGTGTGTGTTTGTTAATAGATTCTTATTGATTTAAAGAACTTTTTATATATAATACTTTATTTTATATCGTTCAGTATATCATGTTAGCATATTCCACTTTTAATTTTTATAATGTGTGACATATATTTTTAATTTTTATGTATTCAAATGTATCATTCATGATTTAAATTTTTTCCATATCATGCATTAACAAGGAGGTTCCTCTACTATGGCAGGAAGAACAAAGAATTTTTTTTCTTTAGCTTCTGAGAAAACATCAATTAATTACTCTGTCTTTAGTAATACCTGGAAGCTTCATAGTGTAGACATACTTTGGCCATCCCTGTTTAATCTATGTATGAAATTGGCACTAATAGGATGTATCTAGTTTAATGATATTAGAAAACTAAAGAATTGATGAAAACGTTTCTTCTACCTTCTAGCCAACATTTAAAATTATCCAAAAAGATTATTAAAATAAATAATGTGATGGTGTTGATATAAATGCAGTAGCATGCATTAGTTTCTTCTATGTTTAGGGACTATGTCATATATGAATGACATGTATAAAGCTTATACATATATGAATCCTATATTGAGATGAGATATGATTCTAGATACAATCATATCTTCTGCAAGGTACCATTCCATGCATTTGTGGACAGGGGAACGAAGCTCATTACGGAACCCACAGCCGGGAGGTGGGCCTCGTCCCCACCGCCCTGAGACAGCACCCCTCCCATTCTTCACACGGAGCCTCTCATGCAACAGTGAGCCAAGCCCTTAGCTGAGAGACCGCCCCGTCTGAAATCACTCTGACTGCGTGATAGTAAACAAAACCGCTTTTGCTTTATACAACCTTCTGGTTAGATTCGGGCACCAAACAGGACACTTCTTTGTGGCGTTCTAAGAATCCTTCAAATTCTTCATCACTGATGACAAATCTTTCCGCTTCTCTTAAGGCATCTTCTCCAGTATTCTCACCCTCAATTAAGAGACACTGGAACACCTGAAAGGCAGGGGTGGAATTTGCTCGGTAAAGAGTCTCCATCGTTTCTTCCCCCAAACCTGACTTCTCCCTGATCCAAGTGTCATCCCTTCTCAGCAAAGAAAATGCTCAGAACTAAGAAACATTCTACAAAGACACTACTTTGGAGAAATAAGCCAGCCCTGAAATTTAGAAATATAGTGTTAGAAGCACAACCATTTTTAAAATATAAACTTTCAAAACCTGGTCTTATAATCTAATATTTTCAGACTACAAAAGGATGAATGTTTATTAAAGGAAATACGAACTATAAAAAAGCATCAAAAAATAAACAAGTCATTCGTAATCTCCAAACCAAGAAAATTATATTTTAAATATTTTGTTGTTTCTGCTGATTTTTAATAAATCCTCACTAAAGCCTCTGGAGTATATTTGTTTTTCACGTAATATATAAGTGTTTTCCAAAGCTGCTAATATTCTTTTCAACACTCTTTTAAGTAAATAAATTAGTGTGTGAAGGTGTGTAATGCATTATTCCATCAGAAATAATCTCATTGTTTGAAGAGATAAACTCAGTCCCAGGAAAGACAAACAAGGAAGTGACTTGTCCAAGGTGACAAGGGGTGACATGGCCAGAACAGAGCCCAGGTCTAGAGGGTTTTCCTGGAAAGCGTTATTCTACATAGAGTTCAATTAATGTCGTCTTCTGAACTGCTCTGATGCCATTGTAGTCAGATTAGCATGAACTTTAAAATGCCTTTGATCTCGCCTTCTCTGCCCACTGTTTATTTCTCCCTTCTGAACTCCCCAGTCCCTGGACACCTGCCTCCCGGCCCTGGTCCCAGGCCGTCTTTGCTGTTTGCTGTCGTGGTGTCTTCCTCAATGGACAGCCAGTGCCTTGGGCGGAGCCGGCACTCATCCCTGCACCCATGTCTTGCAGGGCCAAGCTCAGGGTGAGGTGGGTGGCAGGGAGGGAGCACCCGGCTAGAGTGGAGTGGGGAGAAAACCAGGCCGCAGGAGCTGGAAGTGAGGTGGACAGGGACGGGACGGTAGACGGGGCTGTTGCTGCTGGAGCAAGCCTGCGGGCAGCCCCAAGCCCCCCGCTGACCGGCCCACCCGCCTGTTCAGTGCTGCTGTTCCCAGCCTGCCGGTGGGGGGACCGCGCCTGCAGCCCACAGCGCCTGGGCGGGGGGCAGCCTCAGGTACCGGGTTCCGGGCCACACGAATGGTTGAACTAAGAGCAGACACCTGGTCTGGGGGCATCAATTTACAGCAGTTGACAGACGTGAGCGCTCTGGTGAGGAAACGGTCCCCAAACAGGCGAGCAAACTCTGCCCCAACACAGGAGTCGGGATCTTGAAATGTCAAGTCTGGAGGAAGCAGGCAAATAGGGAGGCTGAGCAGGAGTCACAGGATAATGTGTGTGTATATATATATATCTATCTGTATATAAATCTGAAAAAAGGATGGCAGAAGAGAAGAATGAGGACAACAGTAACAGCAAGGAAAGAGGCTCAGAGACGAGAGAGTAGAGAGAGTCCAAGGGGCAGATCAGTGTCCCGAAGCTGAGCCCTCTATCCCCGCCTCGGAGCACAGTCCCTGCTCTTCCACCATCCTTCTTTCTTGAGCTTTATCTAGCTCCTTCCAGGCCTGGGAGTGGGGCTGGTATTTCAGCTTGCTTATAGGTGTAACTCAAAGTTCAAGTTCAACCTGCCTATTTAAACGTTTTAAAAGCAGCTTCCCTTAAGCCATTTGCACATATCAGGAAAATAACACAACATCCCTTCCCATCTACCTGACGTGGGAGTGAAACTAGCAGCCTTGAAAGAAAAGCTTCCCTGTGTGGCGTGGGCTCTAGCCTGACATGACCTTCTGCCTCGGGCCTTCCCCACCTGTGGGAATTCGTTCCATCTTTCAGAGTACAGCCAAATGCCACCTCTTACATGAAGCCTTCCAGGTAAGCTTGGCTTGTTTTGCCTTTCCATGTTCTCCTAGCACGTGTAGCTTTATAGTCCATGAGTTTTCCTGCATCTCTTTTCCATGCTAGAGCCAAATTCAACATCTCGTCTTTAGCTGCTTCCACCCTGGAGTCCAGACACCGATGCGGATAGCTACGCGATCACCAGGGCAACGTGCTGGAAACACACACTTGCGCAAGCGCACCCCGCTAAGCCTGCCTTGACCACACATCCTGCTTCAGGACGGTGGATGGGGGTGAGGTCCAAGAAGCTGCTTTTTAAACAGCTGCCCTGAGTTGATTCTGATAAATAGCCAAGTGTAGAAAACTTGAACTCACAGTAATTTATCTGGAAGTATCTGCACGTTGTGGTTGCTATAATCTGTTGAGTACGCTTGTGTGTGTGGACCTCGGACTTTTAGTAGCCGATAGCAAGACTAGCCCTAAAGCATGAATCTGGGAATAAAGGCACTATTTTGTTACAACTTGGGAATGACTTTACCGCTAATATCTTCTAATAATTCAATGGAAACTTAGTAGCATCGGAACTGATAAAGCGCCCGTATCCACCCATACATAAGCTGAACGTTTTAAGACGAAGTTTAGGCTTTCTATGGACATATTCTTCAGAACATCTCCGAGCACTTGGCGTATCTTTTGACCTTTATCCTCACAACATCGCATAAGAGCATCAGTTCCAGCTTTCAGAAAGGAAATCGGGGCATGAAAAGTATGATTGTAACTGTACCAGAGCTGAGAGACCAGAGCCCGGTCTGCGGCTGGCTCCGTGGGATCACAGCTCCCCTGTATCGGTATTGCTTTCAGGTTTCATTGAGAAAGGCTCTCCTGAATGTTTTCTTAATTCAAATCAGCAAAAGCGACCTTGTGAACTTACTTTCCAGCGGACGGGGCTTAGCGCTTCGATCTGCTCGTTCATGTCCTCGTCCACGTTGAATCGGTTAATGACAGAATTTATCTTGAAAGCGACTCTATAATCCCTGCACCACGTTCTCAGTTTCTGAAGATTTTCCACGTGGTTCTTCTTTCCTTGGCCACGGCCAATCAGGACATTGACTTGCTCGTCGAAGCTGTCGCAGGAGATGGCGAGAATGTCCAAGTATTCACCTGGGGGAACAAGACCACCTTCAAACGTTTCTATCCCAGGACCCTTCAGGCCACTCATCTCTCTGTATGATAAACTATATCTTGCTTGCATCTGTGTTTTAATTTTTTTTTTTCTTTTTTTTTGAGACAGAGTCTCACTGTGTTGCCCGGGCTAGAGTGCCGTGGCGTCAGCCTAGCTCACAGCAACCTCACACTCCTGGGCTCAAGCGATCCTCCTGCCTCAGCCTCCCGAGTAGCTGGGACTACAGGCATGCGCCACCATGCCCGGCTAATTTTTTCTATATATTTTTAGTTGTCCAATTAATTTCTTTCTATTTTTAGTAGAGACGGGGTCTCACTCTTGCTCAGGCTGGTTTCGAACTCCTGAGCTCAAACAATCCACCCGCCTCGGCCTCCCAGAGAGCTAGCATTACAGGCGTGAGCCACCGCGCCCAGCCTATGTTTTAATTTTTAAAAGGACACTTTCCCTCATACGCACAAAACTCACTGAGGTACGAATTATGCTTTGTTCTTGTGTCAAATAATCTTGAAAAACATATACACGTAATATAATGATGGAGACACTCATATTCGATTGTTATAAAACTCTGCATTTGTGTGAGCACTTGATATATCTAGATGGGATTTTCCATTTATTCCTGCACCGAAATCGTATAATCTCTGAGGCAGGTAGACATATTTGGAGGCCTCTGGATTTATCTATGAACAAGTATAGATTCACTTCTCCTTTTTCCCACCGCACAGGTAACATTGCTCTCTAGATGACCCCCAATATTTTTGCCACATTCATTAGCTTCTCCCTGACATCGCTTGTATGTTTGATTTGTGATCTGAACAGTATGACGTAGACCCTGAGCTGTGTCAGGTGCGACCGTGTTAGGTGCTCAGGCAACCAGGATAAAGGGAAGCCCGCGCAGGAGCCAGAGGAGCTGGGCCGGCCCCTGCCTGGAACACAGCCGCTGAAGAGCTGGGACAGCCTGTCAGTCCTGCAGCACAGAAAGAGTTGAGAATTACCTTTGCTTTGCTTTCTCCTTTGCTGCCTCCTGTAGCACGAGTTCCTTCTCTGCCTTTCTTATTCCTCCTCTGCTTCCCTCTCCGTGGCTCAGTTATTTTTTGTACTTAAGTCTGAGTTTTCCTAGTTGTTGTGACTTTTTAGAGTTGACTCTTTTTCCTTAAAATTAGTTTCAAATTATAGAAGCTAGGGGTTCCAAAAACTCTTTAAGCAACTGTTCTCAAAATAGTGATTTTAACTCCTATTTTGGGGGCTAATTTTGTTTTACCCATGTGGAACTTAGGCCCCCAAGTATCCAGCACAAACCAGACCCAGAATAAGGCAATTGTCTTTTATTTAACACAACTCGAAAAGCTCTAAAAATTGAACTCAAATTAAATTCTTAATGGCATATCATATTAGGAAGGGAAACTAACTAAAACATGGTCTCTAACCAACTCCCCCCCTAAATTGTTCAAAACTTAAAGTATAGAGAATTGCCAGCTATAGTAAAGCCTCACCTAGCTGATGGCCAAGTCAGCTGAGAATCTCTAAGTCCATTGCTATATTCTGCCACCTCCCCAACTTTTGCCGTCTCTCTATAATATCCCCCCCTAACTTTCTCTGCTTTTCTTGTCAAAGCTCTTGTGAAGAAAGATTTAAAGGAGCAGATCTATTTTTTCAGTCCTTGCGTCTTTCCAGGAGAGCCTGGAACCATGATGGAATCTTTGGCCAACCCTGCACACGTGGCTGCTGCAATATGTTGTATGTTGCTGATTGGATGTGTGTAAGTAAGCCTGGAGCAATGGCGCAGGTTGAATAGACTTGTCAAGACTTGTCAGGATTGTTTAGTAAGATTCACGATGTTCTTGGTGGCATTGTTGGGGGTTCTGAGTTTCAGTTCCATGGCTGGTTACATAGCAGTGTGTGCTTAAGTGACCAGCTCTGCATAAAAGTCTGGGACCCTAAGACTCAAACAAGCCTTCCTGTACAAAGACATTCCAAATGTGTGCCTGTAATTCAGTGCTAGAGAGAAAGTACAACTTGTGTGGCCCCAGAAGGGAAAGGACTCAGAAGCCTCTGTGTGACCTCTCTGGACCCTGGTCTCCCTGCTGCTGTGTTTGCTCTGGTACCTTTGCTCTAATAACCCCCGGCCATGAGTATAGCTGGCTATTGAATGCTGGGCATCCTTCTAGCAAATACCAAACTTGGAGAGGAGGTGGGGGCTCTGAAACAGGTGTCTTCATCCACTCAAGCACACAGACCCATTCTTGGCCTGTTAAACCACAGATGGAAAATCCGTGGCTTTGGTATGGACCAGATAGTCGTGTGTATATATATATATATATATATATATACATACACATTTTGTTTGTGCCCCAAAACATCTAAAAACATTTCAAATTATTTGCAAATATTTGTAATGGGAGATTTAACATAGAATATAGATTTTTGACGTATCTTTAATAATTTGAGGATCTGGAAAATCCCCATATTGCACGAAAATCAATGAAAGCTCACAGCTGGCTGTCCACTTGTCCAGTAGGAACAGGGCACACTGCTTCCCATTCTCCAGTCTTCACACTTTCCTACTGTCTCTCCGCCACGGACGTGGGTTTTCTTATCTACTTCCAGATTGGCCAGTTCACACCAACTTCCCCACAGGAGCACGTGGGCATTTGCCCCTGAAGTGCAGCGATGCTCCTGTCTCTCCTCGCACGCCACTCGGACACCCACGGATAGCCCATCCTGGAGGCTGTCTCAGGCCACACCCAGAACATGCCAGCAGTGAGTCTCTGGGCACACTCCTCCCTCAACTCTGTTTCTTGTCCCTCTGAGTCTGGTTCCCAAAGCTCACTTCGACTCTCTAAACCCCTGTTTTGTTAGGTGACCCCTTGGTTTTCACACACTGCCCTGCAGTCCTTCTGATTCTCCTAGGGCTGAAACTTTGAATCTTCTCTTCCTGCTTAACCTTCGTCAGGTAGACTCTCCTGGCCACATGCACATGTCCATGCCACCATCTCACGTGGGGTATTCCTGTCTGCACCCTCAGCAGACCACAGATGCAGCTTCCCTTGGAATGGTTTCGAGGCTCAAACCGCTCATGTGAAGCAGGAATAGAGAATTGTACTGTAAGGGGTAGCTTATAACCGTCACCTAAAATGACAGTAGGTAGGAATAAGCTAACATTTTCAAGTGCTCACTGAATTCCAGGTGCTGCTCTAAGGACATTACATGTATGTAACCTACCTGTACGTACTCTCAGCTATCTCAGGATGCAGTGGTTCTTACTCCTGGCTACACAGTACAATACCTTGGAGCTCCCACATTAGCCAATGGATCTAGTCCAGTCCCAACAGAGGTATCGTATTACAAAGCTGTAAAATGTGTTAATCGTCCCCGCTAGTAGCTAAACTAAGGCCACAGGTCTTACACCTGCTAAACTGAAATGTGCGGGGTGATCACTCGCTGATATTTTGTTATCTACTTTCCGAACTTGTTCACTTAGAGCCCCACAGAACTGAAACTGCCATGGCACCAGGCACAGCTTGAAAAGCAATTAGAATAAGTGAGACTTGTTTTTCCTCCCCTCCAGTTCCCTAGGAGGTCTGGCGTAAAGCCCAGGATGGAAGGAAATAAATATAGGAACCACGGTAGCAGTAGCACTAACTCCAGCGCGCTCCACAGAAGCTCACCGTAATTCCGGAACCACCTCTCCCGGATTAGGCTCCCGTTGCTCACGATGCTCACGCTCGGCAGCCGGAGCTCCTGTTTGCAGAACTTCACCAGCTGGCCCAGGTACTCTCCCCGGTCCTGAATGAACGGCTCTCCACCTGAAAAGTTGATCTTCTCCATACCTGGCAGAGGGAAAACATGGATTTTTCTACTTCATAAATATCCATTATTATTTTAATGGCAAAAGTAGTATTTATTCAATGTCAAAAAAATGAAATAAAAATTTCTCATTATCCTTCCCTGCCCTAACCCTAGTCCCTAACATCAATTTCACCCAGTGGGAATGACCAGGTGTTTAATTCAGGGTCTAACCAGGAAAGAAAGTCACTTAAATTTTTGTGTGTGTGTGTTGTGTGTTCTACTTTAAAATAGATGTACATGAATGTAGGGAATTGGTTATACAGATGAACAGAATAGCTTAGAACCAAAGAGTACAATGAGGCACCACAGAGATTTGCAAAGCACAAAACCCCTATGCCCCAGTCTCCCAGCCTGGGCGTAATAAGGCACATCATTTCAGGTTTCTCTGCCCCTCTCCTTGCCCGGGTGCCTAATGCCCTGGATTCTCTGCCCTCCTCTCTCTTGAGTTACTCTCTTACTTTGGAAAATTCTTTTACAAACCCCTTGAGAAAAATATAAAATATGAATTAAAATTAAAGACTTGTATGTTTCAAAAATGCATTTGTAATTTGGCCAGGTGTAATATTCTTGGTGAAACCATTTTTCACTCAGAATTTTAAAGGCATATCTTCTTGTCTCTCAGGTTTTCATGTTATTGTTCAGAAGTCTAACAGTCTCATCTGTCATTCTTGGTAAGTAGATGGCTTTCCACTCTCCAGAAGCTTTCTTCCTAGTGTTTTGAAATTTCAAGACAATGAGCCTTAGGAACCTCTCTATGTTTGGCCACTCAGAAGGACCTCAACCTAAAACTTTTTCCATTTGTTTGACAATTCCCACCTCTTGTCAATTTTTACTTTTCTTTCTTTCTGGAAATTCTATTACTGACATGTTGGAGTTCCTAGATTTAACTACTATTTTTATATCATTTTCCTTCCTGTTGTCTATCCTGTCCCTTTGGTCTCATTTTTCTAAGACTTTACCTTCTAGTTTTTCTATTAAAATTTTAATTTTGGAAACATCATTTTTAGTTACCTAGATGCTGCCATATTATTCTACTCTTGTTTCATATGTATAATTCTTTCTCTTATTTCTTTGCAATTACTAATTATAGATTTTTTGGAAGTTTTCTTCTTCTTCCTGTATCTTCTCTGTTTATTTGCTTTGGTGTCTGCCTTTTCTCTCGGTGTTTTTGTTTGCCCATTCGTATTCGACTGAGGCACAAAACACGTAAGGAACTTCTGTGATGAAGGGAGGGGCTGGGCAAAGGGAGCTTTCGCTGCTTGAGCGTGAACAGCTTTATCTATTGGACCGTGATGCCTCACGCGCCTGTCTGCCTGCATTTCAGGAGCACCGGGTCTCCCCGCCCACCGGGCAGACTGGCA